GACTGCTCGTCCAGTGAAGCACTGCACTCCTTTGTGTGTATGCAGTGACTACATGTCCAAGACAGCCAGAATTTTCTTCTTCGGATTTGCTTCGATCCCCCTCTATATGACCATGATGCCTAAGAACTTGCTAGAGTCGATGCCAAAGGTGCACTTCAATGGGTTCAACTTCATTCGATATTTCCTGAGGAGGTTGAAGACCTCCTTTAGGTCAGTCAGGTGCTGCTCTGCTTTCTTGCTCTTCACTAGCATGTTGTCTACATAGGCTTCCATGTTATGGTTGAGTTGTTCTTTGAAGATGTGGTTCAACCCAAAGGGCATCACCTTGTAATAGTACAATCCCCAGTTCATGATGAAATTGGTATTCTCCTGGTCGTCTGGGTGCATCTAGATCTAGTTTTAACCAAAGAAGGCGTCCATAAAGATCAGGAGCTCGTGCCCTATTGTTGCGTCAACAAGCTAGTCGATTCTCAATAGGGGAAGCTATCCTTTTGGCAGGCCCTATTCAGGTCGATGAAGTCAATGCAAATTCTCCAATTCCCATTGGTCTTCTTGACCATCACTACGTTTTCCAACCACTTCGGGTAAGTCACTTCTCAGACGAAGCTGACATCAAGCAATTTCTACACTTCCTCATTGATCACCTGCCACCATTCGGAGGTGAAACTCCTTTTCTTCTACCTCATAGGTCGGTAGTGTAGGTCAATGTTGAGCCAATGGGTGATGACCTTGAGGTCAATTCTCGGCATGTGTATTGATGACCAAGCGAACACTTCGGTGTTGTTTCTCAAAAACTACATTATGATATCTTGGAGGCTACCTTCTAGGAAGGGTCCTATCTGAACGGTTTTCTCCATGTTGTTGTCAAAATGGGACACTTGTGTTCACAACTCGTGTCTCAAGTTTATACTTTTTTGTGGTGAGGGCCTCACTTATGTGGGGTCTTCCTCTACAAGTTGTCATGTAACATTGTCTTGCAAGTTTCAGATTTCCTTGGGCAACACCTACTCTGTAAAGGGGTTGGGAACTTCACGGCCAAATGGTACATGGAGACTGAGTCCCATAGTGCGTTCAATGTCGATCGACCGATGATGGTGTTGTAGGGTGATTGGACACTGATGACGATAAAATCAACAATCGCCGTGGTAGTGATGAGACCATCACCAATCAACAACGATATAGTGGTTTTCCCCTAAGGTATCGGTGAGTTTCTGGAGAATTCTACCAAAGGGGTGTTGATTGGCATTAAGGGGTCCTTCCCAATGTTGAGCTGTTCGAAAGCCTCCTCGAAGAGGATGTTGACTGAGCTCCCTGTGTCTACCAGTATCCTTCGGACCTCAAAGTTTGCGATCTCGGTGGTTATTACCAGGGCATCATCGTGCAGTGTCTGCACTCCCCTGAGGTCGTCATCAGTGAAGGTGGTGGGGGTGTCCTGCCTCGGTTTCTTTAGTTCCTTGTCTTCGACTTGATGCAACCTAGCATAGGCCTTGTGGGCCGAGCTGCTCTCTCCTCTAGAGGCCATCCCACCCAAGATGATAGCGATCACTCCAGCGGGGGGAGCTCGGGCTGGTGGCACGTTTGTGCGACACGACTCTTCTTTTGGCTAGTGCTCCTTAATGTCTATGAACCCACCAAGCTACGTACACCAGACGAGGTCTTCTAAGCGGTGGCGCAGATTGTGGCAACTCTCAGTCTCATGGCAGTCTCAATACTTGTCCTGATTCTTCTTGTTGTTCTAGGACCTCATCTACTTAGGCCACCTGACGAAACTGCAGTCGTGGATCTGCATCAGTATTTCAGCTTGTAACTTATTCGGTGGGGTGAAGTTGTGGTACATCGGTGGCGGAGTTCTTGGTTTGCGGTCAAGGCAGCGGTCCTACTTCTTGCTCTCCCAATCTGATCTTTGTTGTTCTTTTTTTCTCTTCCGATCGTGTTGGTCCTCTTCGCTCCTATGCAACTATTGGGCTTCTTCGGCATTCATGTAGTTTGACATGTGCATGAGCCCAATAAGGTTGGGTAGAGGATTCTTCTGTCGTGAGAAACAAAACATTGATGAGCACAAGTCGTTCATGATGGTGGCTATGACCACCGACTGGTACAGATCTCGGACTTGAAGGGCTTCGACGTTGAACATCGCCAAATAGTCTCTTAAGCTCTCTCCTTTCCTCTAATGCACTTGTATGAAGCTGGTTGAGGTCTTCCAGTGCCTCTGCGCTTCCAACAGCTCCCAGGAGGCTAGGGGTCGTGATGGGAGTGAGGCATACCAGGTTCTAGCGACTCTATGAAGGATTCGACAAAAACCTTGCACCGGAGGCGCTTAGATGAGCCGTGGGGCTCTCACAAAGACCTTTGAGATGATTGTTAGGGTATGAGGCCCCATCATACTTCTCGAATTGAGGTGGCCGCCTTCTGACTAGGGGGATCTTGTCCACAATCTCCTGCAAAATGATGGGCTCTTTTGTGAGGTGTTGGTCGTGGTGTGGTTCTATTGGCTGGGCCGTCGGAGAAGTTGCACTACAGTCTGCTTGGCTGTGTTCTAGTTCATCCAATCTTTCTCTTAGATCTCTAATCTCAGCATCTCAGTCTACTAGTAGTGCACTTATGGACTTCTCCGCTTTCGTAGATGCTTTCCGGTCTCAAACCAAGTTGGATTCGACTATCGAGATTACGAGCTGTTGCAAACGGTAGCAGAGCCATTCTCTCACCGGAGTGGTGAGTTTTACTGTGGGCTTCGTGTTCACGATGCCATGGTGGATAATCAAACTTTTGAGATGGTTGGGGACGCCCATGGTCTGATTGGGCCCTTTGTTGGTCTGCGTGGTACCTTTTGGGGCCATTGGTGTGAGGATCAATCACCGTAGGCACTTACATGATAGGGCAAGTGGCTAGGGGATCTTGTGCTGGCTGCCCTAGTGTTTTCATCATGGCAAGGATGTAATCAACCTTTTGCTACATGGTGTGGAACTGTGTAAGGTCAACTGCTATCTGAGGTTGGGGCTCTCGAGGCGGAGAGCTACGGATTGAGTGGGATCGTTGAGATGGGGAGCAAGCTCTAGAGCAGTTGAATGTGTTCTTTGGCATGATTATTTTTCAGTGTATAGTAAGAGGTTAGGGAACTGGCTTTTGTATGTATCTCATAGATGACGCCAATATGATGCTATCCAATCCGAGGTGTTTCGATTTGTGGACAAAGTCAAATAATCCTACCAACTGGATGAGGCCGAGGTGGAAGGTTGAAGCAGCAGACCGAGATATGCAACCACAAGAAGAGTCAAAGGACCAAGGAGTTATTCCCCGGATAGGCACTTTGATGCTCAAGTTGGTAGGGTAAAGGGTTGGCCGGGATGAGTAGGTTGAGATGATGATAGTTCCGAGCCGAAGAGGTCGTCGAGATGAGGTTATCCGCTGAGGTCTTCGTGGAATTCACTTTTCCCTGGTGGAGTCCGCTTCCTTGCCCGTATGGGGCACTCCTTCATGGTCACGCTTTTTTGTCACACGGTTAATGCTGACGCGATCTAAAGAGGGCAGCCATGGAATCTGCCACATGGCGCCCTTGGCCAGCTCGACAATCACCCAAACAAAAATAACCATAATTAATGTATAGATATAAAGCAAGTGTATATTCTAATGGTATATGTGAAGAGATATATTACAATTAATATAATGGGATACATATAAATCATACAATTTCGTTGATAATGTATCAATCAAGAGTGATAGAACATATTATATTTATTTTTGCAAATTAATACATGCACAAAAGCTATTATTATATTATACATATGCAACTATTATATGTAAAAATATTATATCATTTATTTCCTGTTTCACTATTTTTAGTTTTTATCATTTACAAAAAAGTAAAGAAAATTAATTTCCAAATGTTTGGTAAACAATGATTTTTATTTTTATAAACAATAAACATGTTATTATAAAATTTAATTAAAACTTCAATTAATAATTTATAAAAATATGATCTAAAAATATAACAAATATATTAAAATTTCTAAGATGCATATCATATGCAAATTCATAGTTTTAAATTACTAATCTAATTATTCTATTGTTAATATATTTATTTATATAAATTATATGAAATAAAAAATATTTCTTGATGTGAAAGTAAATTAGCGCATTTGACAAATTCAATTTACATTATATTTCTCAAGTATTTTATAAATAATATTTTTATTTTTGTAAATATTAAATATGTTGCTATTTAATGCAAATTAATATATTAATTAATAATTTATAAAGATTTTGAGATACATATCGTGTTCAAATTTATAAATATTATGTACTAAAATAATTATTCTATTATTAATATTTTTTATTTTTATAGATTTATTGACATTAAAAACAATATTTTGATATAAATGTGGACAAGAGCAATTATTTATTCTATTAGTTTATAAAATAATARCATTTACTTAACTTTTTTGTTAATATTAAAATTAAAAATAGTAAAATAGGAAATAATTGATATAATATTTCACCCACAATAGTTGCATATGTTTTGTGCCTTCAACTTGAATAGAAAATAATATAATAATAGCTTTTGTGCATGTATTAATTTGTAAAAATAAATATAATATGCTCTATCACTTTTGGTTGATACGTTATCAACAAAATTGTATAATTTCTTTATTAATTGTAATATATCTCCTAACATATAACATTTTATTATACATTTATTTTATTTCTATATTAATTATAATTATTTTAACTTTAAATAAATTGTTATTAATATATTTATAAAATTTATATGCATTTTTTTATCATATTCAAATGTCTTCATGTTTTTTCATTAATATCCATGCATTTTCAAGATRTATCTATATCCGTATTCATATCTAAGTGATGGGCCGAAACTTTAATCCCTTTGGGCTGAAAGTATTAGTCAGGCTTTGTTGTAAAATTTCGGGTAGGATGCGCGCTAAGGCCGGGCCTGAACACATACCCTATGCGGCTATGCCTACGCCCGGAAAATTTTCGGGCTGGGAAGTAGTAAAAGTGGATCGTTTTCTGGATTCTGGTTTCGCTCTCGTGGCCGAAAGGCCCGAAACCAACTACGTAGGCACAGAGGTCCTTTGAGTTTGAGGTCGTCTCTCTGTGCCTCTCTTTCTCTCTCTCTTCTTACCCTCGTCAAGAGGAAACTTTCTGATTTCTGTCGACAAAAAATCATAATTTTCTATTTATTCCGACTTCTTCGTACAGAGAATTTCTTTTTATTTTTAAGGTACGATATGGGGTTTCCGATTCTTATTTTGCTAATTTTTGGTTAACAATCCTTATTTTGCTATTATGCTTACAAATTCCTGTTCATGATGATCGATTAGGATTTCTTCTGTTCTAGTTATTGTGCGTTTCTGGTGCTGCCTTGCTTAGGTTTCTAATATATATTCCGATTCTTGATTTTTTCTTCTTGTTTCTTTTTGATTTCTTTTGGTAACGACTATGAACTAGAAAGGAAATTGTGGGAAAATTATGAAAAGAATATCTTTTAGAATTATTTTAGGAGAGATAGAACTGGAATGCCACTCTAGTTTATGAGACTGAGTTTGCGTATTTTGGATGTCTAGGCTTCTAGCCTACAGCGAGAACTCATAGATATAGTATGAGCACATGTGGGTCGAGACGACCTCTGAAAGGATACGTGAGGGACACTCGGCGAAGGAAGATGGTACTGGACGTGGACCTCAACGATACACCTCCCGGTGAAACTAGGATTCAAGCGGAGATATCTGCTGGTCTCGATCATCAGGAAATAGGAACTAGTCATCGAGGGAGAGGGGTTCTACCACCTGCTACGATTGATGTTGAGGCCATTGATGATGAAGTTGTGATATCGTCCCCCAGGAGCTTTGCTGAAGTATGCTGTATTCATGTATTTGCGAAAATTTAACGTCATAGTGATAATGATCTACTTTGAAAAAACAACTAAGTAGTATATGCGTTTTGGATTCTGGTAGGCTAGGAACAAGTCCAGGAGGAGTCAAGGGGTAATGGTAATTCTTGACGAAGATTCAGAAGTTCATCAAGGTCACTCGGGTATTTTTTTCCCTTTACCTCCAACATATGAATGCTTTATTGAATCTAGAGGTACAATATTTCGGCATCTAGAATTATTTTATTCTTCTTTATGAGAACAGTCATGTTTGATTAGGTGATTAATCTGTCTTGCTTGTGTTTTTACATTTTTTCTCAATCTTGCTTGTCTGTATTATTTTGTTTAGTTGTTCATTCTCAATCCCTTGTGGTCTTGAAAGTTAATGCAAAATATTGTATAAGTTTGACTGACAATGTGCAGAAAATTCAAATTAGGTTATATTTAACTCCTTGTTTTTYTGGGTTTAAGCTAAGTACCCTTTATATACTCTTAGTTCTTTTGAAGTATCCTTTATTGAAAGCATTTTACACTAGATGGCCTATTTATTGGATGATCTGGTTTATGGGGGAATGATCCACTTGGGTAGTTCTACCATTTGATTATCTCATTACACTCTTTATACTTACTAGAAAATAGCAGTGTTGGGGTCTATTATGTGATGAAATCTTGTTACCTCTAATGAGATTGAGAACTCCCTTACTAGTCAGCATTGTAACTTTCTGCATCAAATGTAGCATCTAATAAAATGTTTAAGATGCTTACAGATTTGCAGCATGCCACTTTAAGTTGTGTGGGTTTTGCACTTTTGCTTTTAAATTTTTTTTGATCAGTAACGATAAGATTTCATTTGCTTTTAATTTTTTCTGAGAAAGAATTCCATGTAAACCTGGTTTTGTTGTATCTTAGTAATGAAAAAGGCCATTACCCAATGGAGGTCTGAAGTATCTGGGGTCTTGGGAGGGCTAGACTGGGTATGGTCCTAACCCTTGGCATTTTTTTTTCAACAAGGTGGCCACCCTCAGACTTGAACCCGCATTCTTATGCTTGCCAGCTCGAGATTTTACCATTACACTAAGTGATGACCCCTTTGTATGGAGATTATATATTTTTGCATCATGGTATATGCGGTTTCAATTGGATTTCTGAGCATGGTTATACTTTTAATGGGCCACCACACCATAAGGTACATTATGAAAACCATAATACTTTTAATGGGTCATCACACGATAAGCAAGGTCTGGAGTTTGATAAGAGTTTACTGGTTCATTGCATTGAAGCGAGAATTTTCTTTTATCCACAATAAACTTGCTTCCCAATTATGAACGGTTGTGCCTTTTGAAGGTAATGCACAATTTATATTTATGTAGTATTCAGCATCATTAAGAATTTATCCTCAATGCCATCGAGAGGGATGGGGAAGGAGAACCCGTCCTAGACTGATGTGATCATCTAATTCTAGATGCAGTTATCACCCTAATCTTGATTATAATAGCTCATTTTATAGGAAATGCTGAAGACATGAAGGGTAGCTAAGAGAGCTGCTCATAAATGTTAGATCTTAAATGTAAATCTTTATCCAATTTTAGATGGTATGAAGATGTCTTTTTGTCAATAGTCTACAAGTTCAATAATCCTAAAGAGGATTATTGGAAAGAGCAATTCATTTTGGGATTGCCCTATGTTATTTGCAGAAAAGATTAAGACTTATTTAAGAAATGAAGGACATAAAAACTACCAAAATTATACATTTGGGAATCTAATCCAGAAAATAAACCAGGTAGGCATTAATCTGTGCAATGGCCTATGACTTAAGAAACAATTAAGAAAAGAAAAAGTCAAGTTCTAAGAGAGAACTTGGAGATTTTTGTTACCAAATTGGTATAGAATCTACATATGCTCCCACTAAAGCATCCCCTAGAAAGAAGGAACATAAGCCTCAGCTTAGGAAATATCTGAAAGAGAGTCGAAAGGCTAAACCTAAAACCAAGAACACCCCTACTTGCTACAAGTGCCGCAAAAGGGGGCATTATGCCAATAAATGCTACAGAAAAACTCCTAAAAGGGTCAATTAAGTAGAGGAGCTTGAAGAGCTAGAGACTTTTGCCATAGGGGAATCATCATCATGAGAATCTTGTTGTGAAAAAGAAAATGGATTCTATACCTATAAAGACACAACAAGTAGAGATGAAGAGTCTCATAGTCTGAATATGTTAACCTTTGAGGAAGAACAACTCTTAGAAATCATTGAGGATATCTCAGACCTAGATGACAAGAGAAAACATCGACTTGCTGCCCTACAAAATGGAAGAGAAAACCCTAATAAGAAAGGAAAAAATAAGAAGGGACTTGTAAAACCAGGAGACTTGTACTCATTCAAGCAAGTAATGGAGAGAGCTAGAAAACAAATCACTAGACCAACACCTATAGATGACCTGAAAGAAAAAATACATGCTATAGTGCAAGAAATGCAATTACTAAAATAAAGGTAGAATACTTAGAAACTCTCAATAGTGAAGTAGTGGCCTGAAAGCAGAAATACATGCTCTTATGCAAGAAATGCAATTACTGAAAAAAAAGGTAGAATACCTAGAAACCCTCAATAGTGAAGCAGGAACAGCTGAACCAATTGAATTTGTTGGGGAAGATGAAGAATTTGTCTATTCAATAGAAGAAGTTAAATACCAAAAATGGTACTCAAAAATTTCAATGAGAGTAAAAGATTTTAGTCTAACTATCATTGCTTTAATAGACCTTGGAGATGGTATAAATTGCATTAAAGAAGGTATTATTCCTTTTAAATATTTTGAGAAAACCACTTAGCAAATTAGTGCTGCAGATGGTAGGAAGTTAGGGATTCGGTATGATGTCCTAGTGCCCATATCTGCAAACAGGGAAGTTTCTTTAAAACCACGTTTCTTATGGTAAAAGGATTAAAGCAAGAGGTGATCCTAGGAACTCCCTTCTTACTAGCTATTTTACCATTCCGAATAGACTCTATTGGCATCACAACTATCATGGTAGAAGTCCAAGTTACTTATGGCTTTCGTAATAAAACCAAAGTTTCCACTATTGATGTCTAAATCACTTAGAAACCCAAAGATGCAGTTAGAAATTGAAAATCTCCAAAAAAGGATTTAATAAGAAATTTGTGCAGAAATTCCAACTGCATTCTGGCACTGGAAAAAGCACAATGTCGAACCCCCTCATAACAAAGACTTAAAAGTATGTCCTACTAAAGCCCAACCTATCTAGATGAATGCCAGGTTATTAGAAATATGCAAACAAGAAATCCGGGATTTATTAGCCAAAGGCTAAGTAGGTCAAGTAGACCCCTATGGAGCTGCCCCGTCTTTATGTTGAAACTTGAAAATGCTGTAAAAATAGAAAGGGGAGTACCAAGATTATTCATATAAAAAAGAAAGGGGAGTACCAAGATTAGTAATCAATTAAAACCTCTAAATAAAGTACTAAGATGGATTTGTTACCCAATTCCTAATAAGCAGGACTTGTTAAATAGGCTTTACAACAGCATAGTATTTTCTAAATCTGATTTAAAGTGTGGATATCGGCAAATCTAAATGAAGAAAAAGACAGATATAAAGCTGCTTTCACAGCGCCCTTTGGACATTACAAATGGAACGTAATGCCCTTTGGACTCAAAAGTGTTCCTTCTGAACTTTGATGGGAGTTGTGCGGGTAATCCAGGCCCTTCAGGCATTGGGGGGCCTTTAGAGATGAAAATGGTAACATTATTGCTCTGTATTCCGGTCCTGTGGAGCAGGGTGATGTGGCAAAGGCAGAGTTTCTAACTGCAGCATATGGGGTTGAGAAGGCTAAAGAGTTGGGTATTAATAGACTGATCATTGAGTGAGACTCCAAAACTGTGATAAAATGGTTGCAGAAAGGGGAAGGGGTGACATGGCAGTTGAAGAATGATTTCCCAAGACTTAAAGGGATGTCAAGGAACATGTCAATCCAGGTGGGATGGGTTAGGAAATCTGCCAACAGTTTGGCAGATAGTTTAGCAAAGCAAGGGGTTCAAAGAACACATGTTTTGGGCACATTTGTAATTCTGTCCCGGGTCAGCATACTAAAGCTGATTTCTTTCACAACTTCTTGTTGTATCCTAAAGTTTTCTAATTAATGAAATCTTTTCAGAGTTATTGATAAAAAAAATATTTACTCTATACACTAATTTTCTAATTGTATACATAGATGATGTTTTAATATATTCGACTACTATAAAAGCTCATTGGAAACATCTGAGCATATTTCTAGAAGTTATGAGAGGAAGTAGTTTGGCTGTCTCTGCCTGGAAAATGAAATTATTCCAAACAACGATTAGATTGCTTGGATGTCAAATATCTTATAACAAAATGACCCCAATACAAAGGACTATAGAGTTTGTAGATAAATTCCCATATGAAATAAAAGATAAAACTCAACTCCAAAGATTTTTGGGAAGTCTGAATTATGTGGCAAACTACTATAAAGATTTTTTTTTTGAAAAGTAAAAGATCATTAAATTTCATTGAAATCAATAATGATGGGCACTTTTACAACTCACTATTAAATTAGAGCTAGCACAGTAATTACAATTGCGCCCAATACAACTGATCCCTAATTACCCCTTGCTTTGCTAAAGAATCAGCCAATGCCTTAGCTTCCCTTCCCACCCATTGTGTGCTTAGATTCATCTGCTGTGTTAGCCACTGGAACTTCATCATTTCATTTTTATAACACCAAATCACTGAGTCTGGATCTCTTAGCCAACCTATCACCACCTTGGAGTCACCTTCAATCACCAGGTTCTCCAAATTCATGTCTTTTGCAATCTAACACCTTGTAAAACTGCAAACAGTTCAGCCTTTAAAGAGTCTCCAACCCCCACTAGTCTTGAAGAAAGTGGTAGTATGATCCCTTATTTTTTACGACTCCTCCATTTCCCGAAGGACCTGGGTTGCCTTGATCGCTCCCATCAAAGTTTAATTTCAGAGAACCTTCAAGAGGAGGTGTCCACACTGACCTTGTTTTAATCTTTTGCACTGAGCTAGATGCCACTGAAAATTATTTCCTCCAAATATAAAGGAGAACTGTCTAAATAAATCCGGAGTTAGTAGCCAATGTATAACCCTAGTCATTACACAGTCCAAAATTTGTTGTTTGCTCCTCTCCTTTTCTTGAAAGATTCTTGCATTTCTTTCTTCCCATAAGGTCCAAATCACTACTGCTCTAGTGCATCTCCACATTATTTTTCCCTTTCTTTTTGGCCAAGCAAAGATAGAAGGGTCAAATAGTAACTTAATCTCCATTGGCATGTTCCACCTGCACCCAAATAGAGAGAAAAACCAATCCCAAATATCTGCAACAAAGGAACATGAAATTGGTAAATTGTTACAAGATTCACCATCGAATTTGGAAAGAGTATGCCAATTCGGGGAAATACACAAGAAAGGCGTTTTCTTTTGCAGGTAGTCCAGAGTATTAATCTTCTCATAAGCCACCTTCCCAACAAAAGGCTTTAAATTTGGGGGAAATTGATTGACACCAAACTTCCTTAATAGGAAAAGAAAGCGGGGTAGGGAATTGGCAAAGAGCAAGAAAAGAAGAGGCACAGGAAAATAAACCTTTAGAACTTGGACACCAAACTCTTCTATTCGGTTTAAAAGGCACAAACAGACTTTATCAAGAAGAAAGAAAAGTTCTGACAAGTAAGTGACCTCTTCATCCCCTAATCTCTTTCAAAACCCAAAATCCCAATTATGATCCAAAGGCGCCTTCTTTCTTACTTRTACAAGGTGCCTTCTTTCTTACTTTCAAAAGGCGCACACATGGTGTGCCTAGGTGTGCACCTGATGCGCCTTACGCCTCAGCCCAGGCGTGTGCCTTTTTAAATTTTTATGCTTTTTTGCTTTGTTTGAACCTAGTGGCTGGGTCGGGGGCTCTGCCCCTAGACTCTTGACCACGCCTGGGCTGAGGTGTATTAAAATTATATTTTTATTATATTGTGTTTCAATGATTAAAGCTTGTAAGGTGGACAAGAAAGTGGATATTAATATTACGATGTGGTGATTAATAAGGAGGTAGAGGTGAGTAGAAGTTGGGGATTTGGTTTCTAGGTGGAGAGGAGGTAAGTAACCTTTTTTTTTCTTAGTTTTGTACCTTGTTTTTGATGTTTTTATGAGTGTGGTGTATAGAGTATGTGTTGTAAGGAAGATGATATGATGTTATGTACTTCCTACTTTTGGATATATTAGTGATGGATCATCACCAGAGATTGTATCTTTCTTCTTTCTTTTCTTTTAATGAAATTTCTTTTTCTAAAAAATTATAAATGGGCCTTGCAGATCAATTGAAGCTTAGGAGAAACTTTCTTTTATCTATGAATCTATTTATCCTCCAAGAAGGTGCAAAAAGTGTAGGTTTTGAAGGACATGTGTGGTATACACCTCATAATGCTGAAATATCGTTTTTAGACGGTAGAAGTTATTAAATAATCATGTACAGGGAGACAATGCAATATCTTTACAGTCTTATTAACAGTCATTGTTTTGTAAATAGAATACAGTTCACACACAGAGTTGTGCAGCTATGGAAGTGATATATAATATGTAACACAGTAAAGCCCCCATTGTGGTTGGATGGGGGAATTTGCACATTGAGGGCAATTGCCGAACTATTTATATTGCACTATTTGATATTTTTATTCCCTAATTGTTATTGGTGAGCAACCAAACTTGGTTTTGCAAAGGGCATTTTATGGAAAAGTCTTGTGAAGAAGTACTTTAGTAATATTTGTGCAACCAAAAACACCCTTTTTTTATTACTTTCTCTGTATTTGCTAAGATGTTCTTATTCCATTTTTTATTCACGTATTTTCCATGTTTTAAGCCTCTCTCTTTTTTTTGATCAATCATGTTTTAAGCCTCTCTTAGATCCATTTTCCTCGTTATGGTCCTTGTAGAGGAACCAATCACTCAGTTGGCTCTTAATAGCTACAACAAGCGCAGAAGAGTTCCATCAAACCAGAGAATTATTAACTGTGAGCTTTACATAAACTTGGAAGGCAACCACAATGCAAAGGTATTAGTAACTTAGACCTTTTATTAGATGTATATGACATTATCTTCTTAATCTTGCATGCAATTGTACTTTATCAATCTTAACATGTATTCTTGCCTGGTAATATGCCTCATTCATTCCATTTTTTTGTATGAAGCATGTAAGTTGAGTTTTTTTGAGGATGGTCCATGAAAATTTTATTTCTTTTCAAGGGTATTCTACAACATGAATGTTTTTGTTTTTATTTGTTTGTTTTTAATCACCACATCAGAAAAAAAGTATTGAAAAATGTTATTGAATTTGTTTTTGTTTTGAGAAGTAAAAACAAGTCGGTTTTGTTTTATCAAAATAATGGTCTAAAGAAACATGATATCAATCAGTACATGAAAACATGTTCTTTAAACCAAAAGTTCAAGAGCATCTTTTTTTTAGATTTGAAACAAAAAACACTTATGATGAACATGTTTTTGTTTGTTTATTTGCTTTGTGAACCAATTTTTTTCAAACCAGATGGTTTTGATTTGTTTTTGGAACTCACAAGTCATAACATGAAAAACAATGCACCAGAATTTTAAAAGTGCAAGGGGCAATTTGTGCCCAAGGCGCAAGGCGAGGTGTGTGCCCTTTTTGAATAAAGGCGCAAAAATACAAAACTGCCAAAAAAGAAAAATTAATACTAAACATAATATTAGTTAAACATATAAACTTAAATTTTAAAATAAATATTTTAAAATTCTATTACCTAAAATTAAAATACATAAACATAACATGTAAAACGTATTAAAATGAAAATTAAAAATAAGACCAAACATTACAAAACATATTCGAGCATATAAAACCCTCAGTCTCTTGTTTTTTCCTCAATTGTATTACTTCAAATTGCTAATGTGATGTAAAATTTCTTGCATTCCTGATTCTACGAGCCGTCTTTATTCCAAGTCCCTCAAGGCAAGCCCAAAGAAGTTTGTGTTAGCGTCTTAAATTCTTAATCCCTACACAAAAACAAAAAATAATTTTATAATTTTTATTGCCTTTTAATAAGATATTTTATTAGGATTAATGAATGAACAACAATAGAAAATACGGGGTTATGAGCTGGCTTTGTTAGGGTGTTAAATTCTTAATGCCCACACAAAAACAAAAGTGATTTAAATTCTTACCCCCATTTGCTAATGTTCATTAATTCATCCTAATAAAATTTCTTCTTAAAAGGCAATTAAAATTTTAAAATCATTTTTGTCTTTGTGTAGGGATTAAGAGTTTAAGACCCTAACAGAGTTTAAGACCCTAACATGGACTTGTTTAGGCATGGGGGCTTGGCTTGTGGTTTGGGGGCCCTAGGCCTAGCTGCTAGGTTCAATAAAGAACAAATAGTGCAAAAAAAACACAAAAGGAGAGAAAAAAGAAGAGTATAAGATAGATTACCAGTAGTGCTAGGTGCCAGCTAGTTGGTTGGTGAGGTCTCTGACTGGTTGTAACAGAGACTTGGGATTGCATCTTGCCTACACCATGGTTTGGGGGATGGGCTACCCCTTGTTGAGCCACATGGAGCAACATGAAAGAAAAAAAGGGTGACCAACAGTCACTTGAGAGGGAAAAAAAGAGAAGCACCACATCCTCGTCCACTCGCATCTCCAAATAAGAAACTCCATGTTACAAAATACAAACATCAAAAAACATTCTTCTCTTTAAGCCAACTAGAAATAATACAATATTGCACCTGTGACAAACCTTGCTCAAGTTGCTCAGGTATGATCTTTGTTCTTTTCAGCCTTCTTACCCAGGTGTGATCTTTGTTCTAGAAATTTTGTAAAATTTTGGTAACAAGTTTGGGGGGGGGCAACCTTCCTTTGAAAGATAAATTCTTTTCTTTGTTTGCCCTTTTGTGATATAAAGATGAGCTTGTGTCTACTTTTCTTGTTCCTTCAAGTTCAAGAAGTGATTTTGGTTGGGATCTGGGCTTGAGAAGGGGTGTTAGGGATTCAGAATTAAATGATGTTTTGGACTTGCTTCATATCCTTGATGGATTTTTTTGGATCCCTCGAAACTTGATAGTTATATTTGGACTCTTTCCTCTGGTGTCTATTCTTGTGCTTCTTTCTTCAAGGCTCTTATTCAACGTTTTGATTCTTTGGGGCGTCCATTTCCTGTGGAGGAGGTTTGGAGCAATCCCATCCATCCAAGAGTTGGAGCCTTGGAGGTTTCTATTGGGAAGTTTTCTTAGAAAGAATTGATACTTGTGATCTACTCCAAAGGAAAAGAACTAATTGGTGCTTATCCCCTCACTGGTGTGTTCTGTGTTTGGGTGTAGGTGGTCTCTCTTATCTAATGTGAAAAGCTTGTTTGCCTTTACTTTCTTTAGGTGGCCAAAGAAAAGGGGAAGAGTGCTATGGAAATGTCTAAGGGCTGCGGTCAGCTGGACCATTTTGGAAGAAAGGAACTCATGATTGTTTTTAGAAAAGGAAACAAGTAGAGAGGTAGTTATAGAGACCATCATGGTTATAGTGGTACATCGGGTAAAGTCTTTGGGGATTTTTGCTGATTTCTTAGCAGGTGACATTATGAGAAACTGGAAAGAAGTGGCTAGTTTAGACTATCGTAAGTACAAGCCCTCTTTGATCTCCACCAATGAATGACTACATCAAGCTAAACTTTGATGCGAGTAGTGCAGGTAACCCAAGTCCCTCTGATTATAGAAGGTGTTTCAAGGCTAGTAGTGGATTGGGTGCAAAAGGCAGTGTTGAGAATACTTGGGAAAGGGTGTTTTGGTCATTTTCTTATCCTTTTGTATTTGGTCACCAAAGTAAGGGCTTTCTTGTATTTTTCTTTATAATATAAATGTCAAGTTTGAGTGTGAACAATAACACACCTCTAATTTGAAAGACTCCACACCTTTTCTTCTTCTTCCTCACCTTTGTGATTTTGGAAGATTTATTATTATGATTTTTGCAACCATTTGGAGCCTCTGCGATTTATTGTGAATTTTTCAAGAGACAAATTCTAGAAATTCCTGATCTGATGTTGATTCTTGTCTAGCATTTTTAATGAAGTTTTCTGATACAAAACCTAGACCTTTCGGGCCATTTTACTTTTGGGGAATGGTGGGAAGTGGTCTTGTATATTTTTAAGCCCTTAAGAATTTTTGGGAGATTTTCTTCTCCTTTTGTAGTCGATATTGTTGCTAACCAGTTTTTTGGATCCTTCTGTCTCTTAATCGTGTGGTGACCTGCTTCCTTGGGTCCTTTTGTTCTAGTTTAGTGTTGAGATCCTTTTGGTTGGTGGGAAAGTGTTTTTGTTAATTTATGGAATTATCAAAGGATATACATATGTGTTCTAGTGTGCTCCCAGGCAGTCCAGATATTTTTAGTGGTATGATAACCACTGTTAAACTTGATGGGACCATTTTTTTGGAGTGGTCCCCCTATCGACCAAGCTTATCATCAAGGTGGGAGGTAAACTAGGATTCATTACAGGCAAGGAGGTCAAGCTAAAACCTAAAGACCCAAAATTTGCAAAGTTTGAGCAAGATACCTCCCTTGTCATGTCATAGCTGATTTGCTCAATGTAACCTCATATTGCCCGTAACTACCATAGTTTTCAAGGTGCCAAGGCGAGACTAGGCGATAGGGGGCGCCTTGTCGCCTAGTCACCTAGGCAATGGATTTTTTTAAGTGAAAAATACATATCCTAGGTAGTTCCCTTGGTTCCATAACCATCTTTCCTTAATAACTATCCATAATTTTCATAAGAAAATTATAAACTTCATGTTTATGTCTAGAAAATCAACATATTTATGAGAAGAAAAAGAAGAAAGAAAAGAAATTCCAAAAAATATGGGGACTGAACCCCTATTTTTGTCATAGGAAAAGAAGAAAAGAAAAGGTGGAAGATGTGGAGGAAGAAATGTGTTTGATTAGACAAAACTTTAAGTTTTTCCCTTACTTATTGGTTCAAATTTTGAAGTCTTTGAGGGTTTAATACAGCAGTTAGCAATGTTTGTGTTGATTAAACCCTAACAAATAAGAAAATAATAAAAAGAAATTAGTTTATAAACACAAAAATGAATATTTTTGTTTAATAATGTCTGTTTTATAATTATAATCTCAAAAACGTAACAATATAAAAGTATTTTATAAGACAATATACAAAACTACTAGGCGACTGGGCGAGGTGAGCCTCCAAGGACGCCTTGTCACTTAGGTGTTGCCTAGGCGGCGTCGCTTTGACAACTATGGTAACTACATGTTTATTTCATCTGCTAAAGATATTTACGGTAGGGTTGTTGCCACCTATTCCTAGTTTAACAATACTGTTAGTGTACTGGTTTCGGAGAGAGGTTTGCAATATGCTTTAGGGGGAGAGATTAGTGGCCACATATTTTTTTTTCTCTGTAGCCTATTTGGAAAGAAATGGATCACTTGGAAGCTTTAGTATGGAAGGAACTTGAAGATTGTAGCAATACCAATAACACATTGAAGAGAATAGAGTTTTTGATTTCTTGGTCGTATGGAATCTTAAGTTTTGGCTTAACTAGGCAACATATTCTTAGTGCCAGTATTGTCACTCTTGCTTTTTCTTACTCCCTTGTACAAGGGGAGGAGAGTAGGACCGCCATGATGCAACCTCCTGTAATTGATCACTCTGCCTTTATATCATCTCGATCCAAACAAAGTACTAGTAAGCACCTTGTTACTAAGAAGGTTGGGGATGTGATACGCGATTATTGCAAAAAGTAGAGACATATTAAGGAAAGGTGTTGGAAGCTCAATCCTCATTTAAAATTGGACAAATTCAAAACAGGAGGTTGGGGCATCCTATTGTAGTTCGAAAAAGGGTGGGGCATCCTCTTCTGCTTCTAGTAATCCATCTAGTTCGTATGCTAAGTGTACTGCACTTGCTTGTTCCACATCTTCTAGCCCATGGATTGTAGACTTTGGGATTTTGGGGCTAGTGCCCATATGACYGGTATGCCTTCGCATTTTACTTCATATAAATTAACTTGGGGAAGGGTAAGATTGCTA